GACATATTTCAGTGTCATATCGACAATTCCTGTTGCAATATCAAAACGTCAGCAAAAGCTCCATCCGCACGAAAAGAAGAAGAATCGCTTATTGCACTATTTGCGAAGGCGCATCAGAATTTAGACGGTTTCTTTTGTTAAACGTCAGTGCCCCCCTCTCCCTCCCCACACACACACACCAAAAATGGGGGGCACTGACAATGTTTTTTTTTTCCTTCCGCGTTATCAGAAAATCAAAATGAGCACTTACGGGCCACTCCTTTCGCGAACGGACCGATCTCACCAGCCAGTTTGACTACGCCACCGCTGCCGCAATGCGTCGAGGGAGCTTTCGTCTTTCTGCACGTGCAACAACCTAGCTGGAGCTTGCGCGTGTGGAGCATGAGACGGCACGAGCCGTCTTGTGCACTGCTGCCTGCCTCCTACGAGCTAAAGTTATGGCGGCGTCACGCATGCGCCGAACGCTTGGTGAGGTCGGTCTATTTAGAGGGATCAAAGGGCGCTCCTTTCATGCGTCTTTAAAGCGGCGAATGCTAGCGCGTGCTTGCACGAGCCGGAAGGAATCAACAAATAAACGCTTCAAAACCACTCCAAATCCACCAAGATAAATTGCTCTATGTTAATGAGTTTTTCACGGAATCCTTTCCTTTAGAATTTAAAGTAAAACCTCTACTGCAGTTCTTGTTTTGCAAAAGCTATACATGACTTCCATTGACGACACAGCAGTCGCCATTGTTCCGTATCATGTTTCTGCGCCCCTGCCTCTTACCCCCAAGTCCCACTAGAGCGACAAACAGAAACAAACGACAGCGACAAGCCTCAAAAACATGCAGCATGCTCGCGACGATACCTTTGGCAGGCGGTTTCTCGTTGGGTGCTCGTGAATTAAGCACGAGTGATTGGAAGTCTGCCAAAAATATCCTCGCGTGCATGACGCTCGTGCTTGATCCTAGCCTTCTTCATTCTACAAAGCCTGTCAAATATCAAAAGACTGGTTTGAGGCTTGTCGGTGTCCTTCCCCCTCTTCTATTTGCTTCTGTTTGACGCTACATTTCGCCGCATCAATTTTGTTTCTCTCTTCAAGGCTTGCCTTGATGAGAGGAACAAATTGATGTTATGCTACGTAATACAAAAGAACAAATTGATGTTATGCTACGTAATAAGCGCTCGGCTTTATTACGATGCCGATTTGCGTGATGTAAAAGCTATCCCCAACATTCAGGGACATATGCTGCGTGCGCCCCTCTCGGTTGCTTTCAGCGAAAAAGCTGTAGCAAATTTCATTTCTGCCAAACAACTGCCGAGGTGATATGTCTATTCTCCTAAAGAAATAGCTACGGCAATACTACAACTTAAATTTAATTTAATTATGTTCGAACGCATACTTTCTATTCCTAGGCACAACCTATTGTTTTGCATTGGGTACTAAGAGCCACCGTGATATCATCTTGATTTTGTTCATAATTTAATTTACAACAACAACAAAAAAAAACACGTAATGATCTTGATAATTATATACCGTCATACTCATACGCATCTAAACTAAAATTGAGTGTTTCTTTAAATAGTTAAAATTTGCCAGATAATATTATCGGGGCGGCGTTTTCTGCGGTACTTTGCTGCAAACTACGTCGGATTGTAATAGCATTCATTGCCTCCTATGAAGACTACGTTAGGTAGAGTAAATTTAGCGTACCTTATGGTAAACATGCATTAAATATGCGCTTCCTTAATCATTCGCAACTTTCAGCGATGGTGGTACCGCGGTCTGAGAATCGTGCTCCCAAGCTCCTGGATGATCGGCTTCAAAATAGAGTTGCTTGCCTACACCTTTCTGGCGTGAAGACAGAAAGTAAGGATCTAGTACTGCTGGTATATAGCAAAACTATAATCACTTACACGTCGCAGACCCCTCCTCGTACTGCTGTTTTACGATGATCATCCAGATGACAGTCATTTTGATAGGCTCAAGCGCCCCCTATAGGTCGTGCGAGTTGCTAATTGCTTCTCTGTTCTTAGCCCAGAGATGACAGCCAGGGCATTACTATAATAAAATTACAGTAAAAAATTACTTTTTCGTGGTAATGAGTAATGTATTAAACTACTTTTCAAGGCTGGTAATTTAGTAGTGCAATGAAGTACTCTTCGGCAGTAATTCTGGAAAAAAATACTCATTACTCTTTAAACAACTTTCGTCCGAATTTAAAAAAAAAAGTTCATTCGCGAGCTTTAGAACAAGAGAAAAATTATTTTTCGTGGGGAAATGTCGTGAAAGAGACATTGGATCAAAAAAACGACAGCCATCTGAGCGCACAGCTTCGTGCGAAGAACTTGACAGACGCACAAATGTAGGCTGGAAAGGAGAATGTGAAAAGATTACATGTAAAGACATCGCTGGAAGGCCGTGGCTCACGAACTCCAGGCAAGACAGATTCACGGCGTCATGTAAGCGCGACTATACTCTGCTTCGTTTATCCCTAAGCTGACAGTGCGGTGGGAGCTACGAGCTCACCAGAACTAATCAACCACCTTCCTTTGATCACCTGACCAGTCTCTTTTCTTTTGCGTGGTGACGTGGCGAAACATGAATGTGTTACTGCTCCAACGAGCCCGTAGCTTCCACCCCACTGTCAGCTTAAGGATGAACGGCTAATGGGACACAAGGCAAAGGGCACATCACAAGCGAGGTCAACACATTTCAAAACCTGAGAGGACAGGACAAACAGATCCCCAACCTTGTTGCTTTTTCGTCAAGTAAGGTCAAACCGTAAACTTCGACCATTGTGAAAAAACGAATAAATGGTTAATATCAAATGCTTTGTCAAGGTCCCAGGATGTTTCCTGTGTATCTTTGGCCTTGTTAAGTAAACGAGCATTTTGTAGTCGGAAAAGACGGGAATCGAGCAAAGCAGGTGCCGCTCGCGGTTTGCCTCGCAGCCTTTTCTTCGGAAGTTTATTCGGGAATAAACCTACGAGCAGATACCGCAACCCTTTTTTTGTGAAAGTAGACATCTTACGAAGCTCGCGTCATCCCTTTCTCTAACTGGCGAAGCTTCTGCCTAGCAAATATCCAGTCCCCCTAAGTGGCAACGCGCAATAACTTGGGCTCTTCGGGTGTTTGGGAACAGGACTCATTGAGAGGAATGACCGGGAATACGCTCTCTATAGTGCTCTTGGGAGAATACGCCTCGCAAGTGGGCTTATTTTCGTCTTCTGCGCATGGGAAAAGAAGTAGCGGTGACGTCAGAACGCCGAGCACTGATTGGCTGATCGCGACCCCATATCTCAGCGTCGTCTGCTCCTTTGCAACGTCGTCTGCTCGCAATATCGTCTGCGTCTGTCTTACCTTTCCTGCGACTTTCGGAGCGAACTCGACTTCGCCTTTAAGAGAGGGCAGACGAAATAACTCGAGCGGTACGTTGTTTTTCTCTAACAACTAGCAGGCGCGCATCAAGGAGGGAAGTCAAAGGACTCACCGGCGAGGTGTCCCGGGGCGCCGAGGTTTGTTTGCTAAGAACCGAGAGTGAGCGTGTTAGTGTCCGCAAGTTCCCTCCCAAATACTTTTTCTCTCCATTCGTGTGCAGCGAGACCCCTCACTCTTTAACGGCGTCGGCGGGTTGGCGCAGTTAACGTTGTCTGCTTTACGTCTGCTACTCAAAGCGATGGCTGCTTTACCTTTCCTGCGTCTGTCGGAGATTCACCGCTTTTTCACCGGCGAGAGTCACCGTTGCCTCGGGAAGCAAGGACAAGAGGAAGAAATTGACCTCTTAATCTAAAATTGAGGTCAGCGATCAGAGTATAATACGGGAAGGGTTCACAAGGGTCGCGCGGGCATATTCCATTTAGCACGCCAGCCGGTCGTGGGCAGACGGCCGCCGAGTCGCGGAGTGCCTGCGAGGCCTAACCGCCCAGCTCGTATGGTTGCGTTCGGTGGAATCGTGGCCGTTGGAGCTTTTCCCGGGTGTTTGTGGATCCAGCGTTCTTGTTCGTCATGGTCTGTTTCAAGTACTTCTTAATTTTTTCTTGCTGTTTAAGGTCGGGATGCGTCAGAAGCGCAGGTAGAAAAATAACGTCCATATGTCGTCGCGACCGCGACGCTGTCGGCCATGCTGATTTGATCGTAAGAAGTCGGTAAGACAGTTTCGGAGCTGCCCATAGGATTTCGTCGTAACCTGCGCAAAACTTACGAAAATTTCGTTTCGTGAATACGAATTTGTTCTTAAGTTTTGTCTTACGCACATTTTTGGCGTAAGATCGTTTCGTGAATCTGGCCTCTGCGCTTCCGAAAGTCGCAGGAAAGGTAAGACAGACGCAGACGACGTTGCAAAGGAGCAGACGACGCTCAGATAGACTGTCGCGATCAGCCAATCAGGGCTCGGCGTTCTGACGTCACCGGTACCCCCTGCGCAAGAAGCAGACGAACATGCCCTCCGCATAGGATTAGATTGCATCCGAGGCGGAAGGGAAACGTTTTACGTGACGAAGCCTTGTAAGAACGAGCTTTCATGGCCCCACTTAACAGATTGACACAGACTATAACTTCTAAATCGGGAAGACGGAAACATATCACTCTTCAACTAAAAACCTTCACCATTGAATGAACAGCGTAACGGTGAGTCCACTGTATTTAAGTCACATTTCAAGAAGAAGCTATCCATCATATTTAAAGGGGCACTCAAGTGGTTTTTGAGTTCGTGTTTCGATGATGACAACTGAATTAAGACGCCGTAAGTATCCCTAAAAGCCAAAAAATATAGTTATACGGTGATTATTTCTTTAATAAAAATGTAAATGAAGGCCTACAAACCTCGGATCCACCCGGAAACGAAACCACTCTCATTGGTCATCGCACGCATATCAAAACGATCTCGGGCCAATGGCGTTGAACGACGTTCCGTCGCGCAGCGATACCGAGGTAGCCGCACCGGCCGAACTTCTTTGTCATTCGGGCTTCGATCATGGCGGAGTTCTCTACGCTCGAGGACGTGACGCCGTTAGAGCTTGACATTCTTCGGCGAACAGCCGACCTGGGGATGATTTCCTACGACGCCACTCCGACGTGCGATGTACACGACAGCAGCGCATCGGAGTCGTGTTCGGGCTCTGAGGACGAGCAGGCGGCCATGTCCGAGGACGAAGACGGCGCCTTTGACGAGACGGGGCGGATCGGCAACACCGACTGGTGGGTGATACGCTGTTTATTTTACCGCTGTATGTGTCATTTGCGCTTGTTTTCTTCTTATTTTCTTTCTCAAAGGTGCCAGTGCGGATGTTACGCGCAGATGCCGACAGCTGACGAGTGCGTCTGCTGCCGCGAGTACCCCGCCGCCGCGTCGAGGCAACCTGGCTGCCTAACAAGCAACCCGAATTTCGAGACGGTGTGCTTGAATCCGGGGGTGCTCGAGGTCGCCTACCTCATGATGCGCCACTACCGCCAGGGCGGAATGGGCACAACAGCGCACGAGTGAGTTCAGCGCCGCAATTTGCTGTTCGGCTAACTTGCAAACCGGCGCCAGCATTAAAACGTTAGACAGCTACTTTACTATCTGTTTCAGGGAGCCTTACGCACGTTACTTTTCAAATTTGAAGTCACATTAGTAGTTGCATCGCATGTTTTACTTGCGTTTCGTGCCGTGTTTCATTGTGAAGTTGTGGGTCATCATAAAGTAAAATGTTCAAAACCTCGATGGCTGCATCAGTATCTCTTGCTTCAAAACAAGTTCGTAAGATGGTTAGGTCCAGTTTAGCTTATCACTAGTGATGGGACGGATCTTTATCCGAATCTGAAGGTTCGGAAAGATTCGGAAAAGTAGCCGAATCCCAAGCGATTCGGAAAAGTTCGGAAACATTCGGAGCGTTGCCATGGTTGCCAAATCACGTTGATGAGTGTTTCAACTTTTCATGATATTATACTCACTAAATTCTACAAAGTGGACTAAATATATTGTAATATAATATCACAGTAATAAATAAAATGTTCCGCTTTGTTTAAATTATTTCGCATGTTTGTCGAGAACGGTAGCCAGACATCACGGGAAAATTGGTTTCGATTCTAAATTACAACGCAATAGGCATGCTTGGTGCACACACATAGAAATGCAAGCGCATTTTTTCATCGCTGCAAGAGATCGATGCCGTACGTGCTCTTCGGTACAGACATATTTTGTGCCCATAATTACTGTCATAGTGGCGCACAACCACACAAGTGAGTATGTTCGATTCGATTATCTCCAACGTGTTTCCACTGAGGTATTGCTATCGAAACACGGGAAACAATGTGAAACTCCTGTTTAATGCTATCCCATTTAGTTAGTGTTTGGTTGCAAACAATGAAGTTGTGTTGGACACCCCTGGGTTGTGTTTCTTTTTCGTCAAATAAAGTTCACGTATAAAAAAACTTGCTGCCGAGAACGTAGAAACGACAGCGCAACGTTTTTCTTCGCCACCGGTGCCGGTACGCAGTCGAAGTTGTGACGAGCAACATTCATCTAGTTTTCGCGCCTTAAAGGTGCAGACATACGCAACTCTAGAGAAGCAGACAAATCATTTTCTTGCCTGAATATATATTTATTGTCCGTTGCGTCACATTATGTATAATACAGAGCATTCTGCTACATTATACCGATCACCGCGAAACCTCACAGGAAGCGAAACCGTGCATTGGTTAGGCCCACGCCAACCACACCGATCAGCTCAGCTGGACCTTGGCGCCTGCCAGGGTTTAGAACGACAGTTTAGTACATACCATATGTTGAAATAAGCAAGACGAAATCTGGTTATCTGCAGTACCAGTACCTAAGGAAAGCACAACTGACCACATTCGCGAAGTTTACCACTATTTTCACACTGCCGTCTGCAACCAGCGACGAATCTGATGAATCTCCGAATCTGTCCGAATCCAAATCTCCGGTGATTCGTCCCATCACTAATATTATGTTCACACTATGGACCTAACGGGCGTAACTTTTGCAACAAACGTTGGCACAACATGCATAAACGCTACGTTCAGGGTACACTACTGAACGCAGCGTTCACACCCATTGGAGTAGTGCGCTCAAGTTTCGCCTCTGACTGCTGCGCCACTCGAGACCCCCGTGGGATGCCTTTGAAGTTTTGATATGGCCATTTTCTCCTCGGTAGCAGCGACGGGCTTGCAATTGTGTCGTTAAAAAAGCTGATCACGGCGGAATGTGCCCCTTGATCATTGCCCCTTGATTCCACTCCGGCAGGTGCAGCTTCCAGACGAAATGGTGCGTCGAGACTTTGAACACTAGATAAAAAACAACAAAAAAGCTAATTTCCCTTAGCTTCATTGAAGTCCCTCTCTGAATTATCCGAAGGTTATTTATTAATAGCGTGCAAGCAATTATGATAAAAGCAATGCCCCGTCTCTTTGGCGTGAACTACTGCATCTCTTTGCCACAAAGAGATGCAGTAGTTAAATCGAGTCAGCATGAACAGTGCTGCCGCATATTTTAGGGTTTGTGACATGCATATTGTTGCGCATGTTAGGCTTTGATAATCTGGTCTGTTGGAATTTACTTTTTCTAACAGTTCTTTGTGATGATTTATGGCCCATTACTACACGATGCCGAACTACAACGAAAAATGGTTGCACTTGTGCCCCACAACCGCTGCTACTTTCTTGTACATGGAGTATACACTACTGCGGTTCAATTAGCAACATAATATAATGTTCACACATGTCAATTTAATTTGTGGGAAGAATAATGGACACAATCTAGAACTTGCTCTGCTCCTCGGGTTATTTTAGATAGGTTGCTGCTCCAGGCATGAGGCCCGTTGCAGCACTTTTTTTTTTTTTTCTGCTGGTAGAGCCCAGAATCTGCAATTTTAAAAGGTTGTGATATTGCGTCTCACAGAAAATTATTGTGGTTATTCTTTCAGGCGCAACCGCTACGCCGCCTACCGGCAGTGCGTCCTGTGGCTGTGGCGGCGCCCTGGCCAGCACAACAGGCGACCACTGCCATCCTGTGTGGTGAAGGCCATCAGGGGCCGGTTTCCCGACACTTCGTATTCTGGCTTTCGGCACAGTCACTGAAAGCCACTCTGGGGGCTCAAACATATGAGGGTAAGTCAAAACGTATCTGCAATGTGGCTATAACGTTTCGTACATTGTTTTTACTTACTTCTGTCTTCGTTTATTTTATTGTTATGCCGTTGTGGTTCTGATATGAAAGTTTGACCATAATTCATTTGTTTTCTCTTTGCTGCAAATAGATCATGGCCCCTCCCTTGGAAGTTTGCACCAAAGAGGAAAAACGAGCAGGGAGCCAGTGTCTCGCTCAACGGAGTGTCTATGAATTGAGTGTCCACACCTTCCGACCACATAAACCGGAACCCTGCTCGTTTTTGCTCTTTGGTACAAACTTCCAAGGGAAGGGCTGTGATCTATTCGCAACAAAAGGAAAACAAATGAAGAATTATTATCAAACTTTCATAGCAGGACCACAACAGCATAACAATAAAATAAACGAAGACAGAAGTTAGTAAAAACAATGTATGAAAAGTTATTGCCACATTGCAGATATTTTTTCACTTGCCTGCCTGCCCGCCCCCCCCCCCCCCCCCCCCAAGAGGATTCTTACCTTATTGTGGTGGAGGGGTTTGTGTGTTCCAATGACCCTCTTGGGCTATGCCGGCCAGGGTCACCCATGCCGGACAGGCCAGAGGATAGGGGCCAGACAAAGAGGAATCCGTGGGTTAGTACCCACCCATGCCTGGCTTTGTGCGGCGTTGCCAGTGTCTGGGAAAAGGAAGATTCTGATGGTTGAGGTGAGCCCTGGGTCATTACTGGACCCTTGGTTAGCTTTGCTGAATATTACAAGTTATCTTGTTGTGATTACTGTTGCAGCGTTAGCATTTTTACAGCTCTGCTTCATGGAATAGCACATATTGTTGGCGATGTTAGAAATGTTGAAGTATTGATTCCTTCGTTGATTGACAAAGTGTCAATAGTGCCATGTGATCTTTGAAAGGCACTAAAGGTATGTGAATCCGTCATGTATGTTGTGAAGGTAATAAAATGCGATTGCTTTTTTGGAAACATTGGCCATGTCTTTGTCATGCGAGTTTCTCTTTGGGGAGGTATACAAACATGAGTGGTGTACAGGGTCGTCCACACTGCGTGGCCGGCGCTCCGCGAGGCGCCGCAGGTGAGCGCCTTGCGAGTTAGGGCCAATTAGTGCGCAGGCTCAGGGAGAGCCAGGGGTCAAGCCTCCCCCGCGTCATCTGCTACAGTGTCGGCACAGCGGCCATGTTCTGAGGCGAAGCAAGCACTGTTCTTACATCCCTGGTGTCACATGATACTCAGAAATTTTGATCTACAAGTGCTCTGCACAACTTGTTCCTCTGAGAAAGGTAAACCAGCCGGCACACAGCAAGTGTCCCGCACGAGAAAAAATTACTTCGCCACATAGCGAAGTAATTGCCGCGTCGGCTGCTCATGTAGCAGACGACGCAGCAAAGGCTTGGACAATGGCTATCGCTAATCGGCCCCAATTCACAAGGCAGCCAACTGCGGCGCTCCACCGAGCGTCAGCTACGCAGTGCCGTCTGCACCCCAACAGTGGAAAACCCTGTACATCGAGACCTACTTGCTTATTTGCAGGGCACAATCATGAAGCAATTCTTTTAATTTTATTTCACCATTCCTTTATTGGCAGAAAATGCCCTCTATCCATTTTTTGGTCATGCCTGATGCACCGGATCCTACAGGTAATTTTTAGGTTACATTCTATCTGCTTCATGTGAAACAGAAGCAAGTTATTTCAAACATTTATTTATAACTATCTGGAGAGCAGTGCACCACCCGGTCTACACAGGAGAGATATCGCACAAAGGTGAAACAAGAAAATGATTCAGATGGGGGAAAACCGCGGTGTAGAATGGCAGTACTGCTTGGATATCATTAAAAATAACTCTGAGTGATCCGAGTTATGCACAACTTTACTCAGCATTGCCAGTCTACCTCCTGGCTGAAAACCGCATTTATTAAAAAAAGTCTCAGGCGAGCAGTGCTGTAATCGTGGTAACTCCTCTTCAACCTGTCAGCTTGCCAGCACATGAAATGGAAAATCAACGCCAGAATATTAGATGCTTCAATTATAAAAAAAAAAAAAAAGTGTCATGAACAGGTTCATTAGTATGCTTCAACTGAATATAATTTACACTTTCAGTAAACCGACTATTTTTCCTTTGACAATGTTGAAAATTCCTGGCATGCAAGGACAGACCCTGTCCTTCTACTTGGTTGTCAATGTCACACTCCGGTCGAGGTCACATTATGAACACTGCGTGAGATGGTAGCCCACTGGTAAGTGTAGGGTACTGATTATCTTTACTTCACTAATGTAGCTGCACCGAAGACAATTATACTGACCAGACTTTCTCAAATAAATGTTACGGCTCACTCCTTGCTAACAAATATTGAAAAATGGGGACCTCC